GGTTCATTTCCTACCAGAGGACCTTGTGCTGCATTTTGTGCAGTCGTTCCTGGTTAGGTCTTAAAATGTATATATTCTCACTTGGATTACTAACCCTAACATAATTTTCTAATAACATCACACAAGCATCTTATTCACCAGAGTACATTACACCAACACAGCAAATATTTTTAACAACTGACCCCTGGAGGGTGACTACCTCACAGGTGTTTGTTGTGCATGAATATTGATGTTGTTGTGGATGATGTCATCCTGATCCTAATCCTGACATTAAAACCTAATCCCGAATCTAAAACTGCAACAAAATCCCATGAGTTAGTCAAGGCCGGCTGTGAATTTGATGTCATAATGTTACTCAAATTACACAAAGACATTGTAGGGGGCCTCATTGTTAAAATAATTATGATTATGGCTCAATTTCCATATTAATGATCCCAAAGTTTAATCTCCAGTCCTTACCTTAAAACCAACTCTAGTTCTATTGGTTACCCTGACTAATTCTAGTAATTATCCTTTCGGCACAAAGTTATATGGAATTATATTATACAAGCAAAAGGAGGGAAAACATTTGGGAAAACAAATGGTTCCTTGCTATTTCTCAAATGGCAAGGCATAACAGTTGTTCTCCAGATAATTTGAGCAAAGTTTGCAAAGTATAATCACATAATTACTGTGTGGTGTAAAGTAGTTGACATTCTGGTTAAAAGTTTCAATTGAATATTTACAAAATAATATAAAATAACCATTGATACTTAAGTACTTCTTAAGTAGATATCTTATATAACACCAAAACACAACGAACTTCCACCAATTCGTGGCCAGATGATATCTAAACTACGTAAATCTGGTGTCCAGTCTTCCTGATTCAAAAAAGTACGAAATTCTGTGCAATCATTGCCATTGGAAACCTGGTTCTGATTTTTCTTTTCCTCCACGCGAAAATATTGGTAGACGTTTCCGGTTGGCATGGTTATCACGATTTCCATAGTTGGCTTACTCTGCTGTGGCAAATGGTGGTTTTTGCGTCACTTGTGTTCTTTTTGGCAGTGAAAGCACGCATAATGCAAGCGAGCTCCAACGATTGATGACCAGTGCTCTTCCTCCAAGTGCTTCTGCTGTCCAGAAACTATGTCAGCATGGTGAAAAATCCAATGTTAACACAACGGCAACTCTCCGTGCTACACAGTTTAAGCGAATGATCGAGAATAAGACACTTGGTATCGATGTGCAGCTGAAAAAACCCACCCCGTAAAAGACCTACGTTGCAACTGAAACGCCAAGATGATTGAGTTCGATGTACAGCCCTAATTGGATATTTTTTGCTACGAAGAACCTGAAATACACAGCAACAGTACGTGCGGTACAGAATTGTGGTTTTATGTAAGTACCGTGATTTTGTAACATTCTAATGTTGTAACGTTCGCTGAAAAACATGGTATGTTGTTTAAATATTTGACTTATTTAGTGCGTTTCGTTATTTGCTGTCTAAAATATGGCGTAATTAATGACGAATTATATGATAGAATTCGATGCTCAGAACTCAGGAAATGGCATTTCCGGGGTTCAAATTTCAAAAATTTTCCGGGGGAGAATGTAATGCGCCACGGTCAGGGTTTAGGCTGGATCCGCGCCTGAAACAATGTGGAATTTTTGTTTTTCTCACTTTACTGATTATATATGTGTTTTCCATGTTTCTTTTTCACCTTCATAAAAATGATTTCGCTGTTGCTAAGGCGGTGTTGGTAAGGTTTCAAAATAGCCAATGGGCACACAATTTTACATCCAGAACTTCAATCTGCCCCGCAAGCTTCAATGTTTCCCTTTCATTTGACTGAAATGAACAAAGGTTTCTGGGGTTCATAACATAAAACTGCAATATATGCAGGGCGCGAAATAACGTCCGGTCAACGGACAATGTCCGGCCAGAATGCGGAGTTGTCCGGCCAAATTCTTACCTTGCCTATCATTTTGACCGATCACTTTCGGTAAAAGAACAAACTAATCTTCATTTGAATTAATAATCAAAATAAGAACTATAACATGTTGTCGAATATTTTGTGGGAAAAGAACTTCAATATACGTCAGCTTTCCCACGCAGTACGTCACAAAGCCCATGGCCATGCTTTTGTCTTAAGAGTTAAGGCCACGGTCACCTTGACCGGCGAACCTCCAGCCATTATTTCGCGCCCTGAATATATGCACTCCTGATTCGTCGATCAATCATCATAACATAGTGATCATAATCACTCGGGTTTCGTGTTTTTTTTTTTTTTTTTGGGGGGGGGGGGGTTGTGTTCTCATATGGCATATGTGTCAAAGAGGAACACTAGGTCTTTGTTTTCTTCGGAAGGTTATTCACACATAGCAAAAACACTCAAATTATCACTTATCAGATATGCATCTATGTTAGTCTACTACACACGTAAAAACGCACAAGTTGTAAAAAATCTGCAGCACTAGCAAACTTGTAGCAATCTAATACATGCATGTCGTGGATGACATCACGATATGACCAGGTATAGTCGTAGTCATAGAACTGGAAAATTTTATGGTAAAGTTTACGTTTTAAATTATCCGCCGTGCATGTCGTTATAGCTCGGAAATCACATTTCAGATTCAGCCCGCAGAATGTGTAAAAGTATTTCGCGACATTTGCAAATCGTTACCTATAAAAGCAATATTTTAGAAACATCCAACGTCTACGACCATACCACCAGGAAAACACCGGTTCTCGTCTGATCACCGAAGTTAAGCCTGGTCGGGCAAAGTTAGTACTTGGATGGGTGACCGCCTGGGAATACTTCGTGTTGTAGACTTTTTGCCAGTCGATATGCAGCTCGGAAATCGCATTTCAGATTCAGCCCGCAGAATGTGTAAAAGTATTTCGCGACATTTGCAAATCGTTACCTATAAAAGCAATATTTTAGAAACATCCAACGTCTACGACCATACCACCAGGAAAACACCGGTTCTCGTCTGATCACCGAAGTTAAGCCTGGTCGGGCGAAGTTAGTACTTGGATGGGTGACCGCCTGGGAATACTTCGTGTTGTAGACTTTCATTTTTGCCAGTCGGTATATAGCTCGGAAATCACATTTCAGATTCAGCCCGCCGAATGTGTAAAAGTATTTCGCGACATTTGCAAATCGTTACCTATAAAAGCAATATTGTAGAAACATAGAAACATCTCCCAATGTATATTAATAGGAGGGAATCAGATTTTAAAGAACTGGAGAAGTTATTGATCATGAAACTTAACTTTACCTAATTTAAGTCTGAGCTTTTATGTCATAAATATTACTTTAATTTAAATCTTCAACTGTTTTTATTATAATGTAATTATTTAGTTGTTAGGATATCCTAGACAGGACACACGTTGATAACAGCATATTCTTGCTGAAGTGTTCGTATCCTGTTAAAATATTTGTATTATCATTGATTAATTGATATTATAAAATTGTTGTATTGTTCTAATCAGGCGTGCCTGTGCCCTAAAAAGTACGGCCTGATACTCAGGTTATTCTAATGCTAGCATAAAAATAATAGGAATTCTTTGAGCAATCTTTGAGCACATATGTATATATAACTGCACATTTCATGCAGTTGGCACATGAAATTGCCATGTATGCATTCATAACAATTCTAGAGATCAAGACTTAGCTATCTAGTATGACAAGACCTTGACTATCTAGTATGCTGTTCAGGCGCGGATCCAGCCTAAACCCTGACCGTGGCTCACTCCAAAACCGTCAATAATTAGGGGGGTCCGGGGGCATTCCCCCCCGAAAAATTTTTGATATTTGAACCCCGGAAATGCCATTTCCTGAGTTCTGAGCATCGAATTCTATCATATAATTCGTCATTAATTACGCCATATTTTAGAGAGCAAATAACGAAACGCACTAAATAAGTCAAATATTTAAACAACATACCATGTTCTTCAACGTTACAACATTAGAATGTTACAAAATCACTGTACTTACATAAAACCACAACTATGTACCGCATGTACTGTTCCTGTGTATTTCAGGTTCTTCGTAGCAAAAAATATCCAATTAGGGCTGTACATCGAACTCAATCATCTTGGCGTTTCAGTTGCAACGCCTAGGGTTTTTTCAGCTGCACATGCATCGATAGCAAGTGTCTTATTCTCGATCATTCGCTTAAACTGTGTAGCACGGAAAGTTGCCGTTGCGTGAACATTGGATTTTTCACCATGCTGACATAGTCTCTGGACAGCAGAAGCACTTGGAGGAAGAGCACTGGTCATCAATAGTTGGAGCTCGCTTGCATTATGCTTGCTTTCACTGCCAAAAAGAACACAAGTGACGCAAAAACCACCGTTTGCCACAGCAGAGTAAGCCAACCTTGGAAATTGTGATAACTATGCCAACCGGAAACGTCTACCTGCAATATTTTCGCGTGGAGGAAAAGAAAAATCAGAACCAGGTTTCCAATGGCAATGATTGCACAGAATTTCGTACTTTTTCGAATCAGGAAGACTGGACACCAGATTTACGTAGTTGTAGATATCATCTGGCCACGAATTGGGGGAAGTTCGTTGTGTTTTGGTGTTAGATTTTTCTGAAGTAGGACCAGTGTTGGGAGTTACAGATGAAATTCCTTTACTAGTGCTGGGAAATTTGATTTCACTGTTATCTACAGTTTCTTGTGTGTTGCACGCTCGTTTCACAAGAAGCGCACCGATCTAAGCCAATTTGTTTTCTTTTTGGACCAGTCGTCTGCTTTTTAGTAAATGTAGTCACTTGTGTAGAGGAAGGAGCAGAAATAACTTTAGTAGAAACTTTAGGAGAAACTGTAGGAGGAACTTTAGGATGAACTGGCATCGCAGACTTCAATAAGGTTGGAAGGTGTGCTTTAAAATAATGGTCTCGTGGCTGAAGTGCTTTAACGGGTTTGCACAAGGTAACAAAATGATTTTTGGTAGATAGAATTCTTCGATCAACCAAATAAGACGGTGGCATCGCAGCACAATGAAAGATATGGACATATTCAATTGCACTGCCATCAAGATAATCCCGTAGATATACTGTATTGTACAATTGAATCCAAGGAATCCCACTTTTCTTTCGTTACAGTATCATTGGTGAGTGGGTAGAATGACTGAATGGCACACTGAATTACTGTGGGCAAGGCAAACATGCACACCATGGATGAGAACGTGTAATTTTTTGCAGTTTCCTTTGCTTCTTCTAAAACTGCTGCATTTCATTACAATTGTCGAAAAAAGTAAGAGCTGCATCAGATACACACATGGCAAAGGCATTTTTAAGTGTAGTTTAGAGTGGTTAGCATAGTATTTGGCATTCTCAAACAGTTCAATACTGGTGAGGCATCTCAAGTGAGCAGACAAACTCTCATTCCCGATTAACGCAATAGAACATGCATTAAAAAGACAATGAAGTACTGAAAGAATTTAAGCATTTAAGTATCAATGGTAAAATTTGTAAATATTCTATTGAAACTTTTAACCAGAATGTCAACTTCTTTGCACCACACAGTAATTATGTGATTATATTTTGCAAACTTTGCTCAAATTATCTGGAGAAGAAATGTTATACCTTGCCATTTGAGAAATAGCAAGGAACCATTTGTTTTCCCAAATGTTTTCCCTCCTTTTGCTTGTATAATCATGGGTCTCGTTCCATATAACTTTGTGCCGAAAGGATAATTACTAGAATTAGTCAGGGTAACCAATAGAACTAGAGTTGGTTTTAAGGTAAGGACTGGAGATTAAATTTTGGAATCATTAATATGGAAATTGAGCCATACAAAACCTACAATGTCTTTGTGTAATTTTAGTAACATCATGATGACATCAAATTCACAGCTGGCCTTGACTAACTCATCGGATTTTGTTGCAGTTTTAGATTCGGGATTAGGTTTTAATGTCAGGATTAGGATCAGGATGACATCATCCACAACAACATCAATATTCATCCACAACAAACACCTGTGAGGTAGTCACCCTCCAGGGGCCAGTTGTTAAAAATATTTGCTGTGTTGGTGTAATGTACTCTGGTGAATAAGATGCTTGTGTGATGTTATTAGAATGTTAGGGTTAGTAATCCAAGTGAGAATATATACATTTTAAGACCTAACCAGGAACAACTGCAAAAAAATGCAGCACAAGGTCCTCTGGTAGGAAATGAACTTACGGCCCTGCGATTCCTATCAGAGGACCTTGTGCTGCATTTTTCGCAGTCGTTCCTGGTTAGGTCTTAAAATGTATATATTCTCACTTGGATTACTAACCCTAACATTCTAATATTAATTCCACCAAGTGAAGTGCAAGAATCCAAATTGTGTCATGTTACTCTGAGTGTATATCCACACCGGGCAGGCTTGAAAAATATGCCTGGCCATGGTGGGATTCGAACCTATGACCTTTGGCAAAGGCATTGGGAGAGCATTGGGCTAGTATTCCTTGGCAGATCATTGGGCCAGTATTCCAAAGGTTGTAGGTTTGAATCCCACTGTGGCCAGGCATATTTTTCAAGCCTGCCCGGTGTGGATATACACTCAGAGTAACATCACACAAGCATCTTATTCACCTGAGTACATTACACCAACAGTCCAACACAGCAAATATCATGATTATTAAATTACACTGATATCGAAGGAACTAGACTCAGTTCCAAAGTATTGCATACTCAAACCGACCTGACTGCATAGCTCAGTTGGCAAAGCATTGTGCTAGTATTCCAAAGGTCGTAGGTTCCAATCCCACCATGGCCAGGCATATTTTTCAACCCTGCCCGGTGTGGATATATACACTCAGAGTAACATCACAAAAGCAATTTAGAAATATTTCTACAGAAATCTTGTCTGGATGAATGAAAGTTTTCTTCAAAGCTTCGAAGTAAACAGGCATACAGAAACACACAAACAAAAACACTAGGTTAAATTTTAACCAAGGATTAGCCTTAGCTTAGAACAACCGACCCCTGGTCAACCTACAAATATTAAGGCGCTATATTTTAAAGCTTGGTGAAACCAAATAGACGACTATATAGACCCAATACAGTAAACATTTCATTTTACAGTCGACAATCAAATGTTGTAGCCGTAAACTGTAGCAAAAAACTGATAACAGTTTTAAACAGAGTTTTTACTAATATTTCACGACTACATAGCGGATAAATGCAATTTATATTTTATTAACCGCCATGTGTTCGAGATCATATTACTATTTCACTAACAAAAATTTACATACATACAAATTTGCATGCACAAATTTATATTCCCTGACCCCAGCGTAAATGCAAATTTAATATAAGTCGATTAAAAATTCTTACCTAACAGGAACATTAGGCCCAGATCTTTCAGTTTGGCTCTTGGAGAACTGCAGTTTTGAAAATTCGCACGTTGGCAGCACGGCGCAGCCTTTCTTCAACGGCGCAGCCTTTCTTCAGTGATAAATTCATCATATTGTTGCCTCAAGAGCGATAATTCCCCTGAAATATGTTCGCTTAGGTTTGCTTGTTGAAAGATTTCGACGAGCTTGCTAAGAACATCGACTTTTTTTAAAAGCTTCCATCCTGATAGCATCCATGTAGATTGTGATGTATTATTCTCAGTGCTTCCATTTTCAAAATCAAAATTTCTCATTTTTGTCATCAAAATTTCTCTAAATTCCTTAGATTGTATACGTTATTTCCTTGAAAATTCCTTGAAATTTCATTAGGCGGTTTGCAGTGCTTTTGTAGCAATACAAAGGATTTAATCAATTTTAAAGGCACAAAATAGCACAATTAACAAAGATGATGGCTAGCTAAAAAACCACAGGCTATTATATTGTTTAAGATTAAATATTTGTTATGAGTTTACAACATACTGGCCTTCCATTGATGTAAATAATTAATTATTCACAGCGTTTGGCGCCAAAAGTTACCAAATCCCATCCCTCAAAAACTTTCAGACGTTTTCGGAAACACGAGGAAAAACAACCTCGTCCCCAGGGTCTTCCTCGTGGTGGCGCGTGAGCTGAGGAAGACCCTGGTAAAATACGATGAAATCTACAAGATTCTTGGAGATTTATCGCATGCGCAGTGACGACAACGTTATGTTGCTGACTACAATTAGCGCTGGCGCTTACGATTTTCTCTGGAGGGTAGCTTAAAGGGGAAGTCAAGTCCGTAATGTAAACAAACGGTTTGTTTACATTTTGAACTGCTGTATTTTTTAAAATATGATGTACTGTCTGAATATCTAACACCATTTTGGTTCGTTATGCTTCTACATGAATATGAAATAAAGTTTGTGTTCAGAAAAATTCGAAACATTCAAAATTTGGGCAATGTTTACCTCAGAGGGCCCTCTATTGTTATGCGCAGAACCGATGCGCAGAACGGACTTGACTTCCCCTTTAAGAGATTTCCTAAAAATTAGGTGTTTTAGTGATATCCAAAGGAGCAGGAACTATATCCTAAAGGGTTAGAAGGATATTCATAGGGGTTCCAAAATTGCATCCAATGGGGTTCCAAAATTTTTAAGGTGTGGGGGGCTATATTAGATGGAATGGCCCAGTGTGCTGCAACAAGTTTTAAAATTTGTATATATGTTTTTAAGGCACAATATGTGATGGAGTTTGATATGATGATCAGCACAACCTGAAGGTCTTGACTGAATGAACAACTTATCTGATATACTCCTAGTTCCAATACTTTGCTGTATATTATCACCAGCTCAGATGCCAGTTGGATCACTTTGAATGAACATTGGAGTGGCACAATAAAGTGTCTGTATTAGGGAGGAGTCCATAAAGACTGAAGTAAAAGGCACACTTTTGGATATTAATTTGAATCATAGCAACTACATATACTGTAGGTTTCAAATAAGTTTGAACAATGAACAACTGAAAATAAAAATTTATTTAATTTGAAACACTTAAAGGAATTACAACATATTATATGATAGTCATATGTACATGATTAAAGGTATATTCATTAGTTTTACTAGCTGATATTTATGACCATCCTGGGACAACATTTTATTTTTCCCAAGAGATTTTACTTGCATGATAGTAATAAGTTTAATAGTAACGGAGAAGTGTGATGGATATATGCAAGTAATTATCATTAGAAATACAAATATTAAACTGTAATTTTGACCATTGTAAATGTATTATTAAAGAAACAAAATACAAAAGTCAAACAAGGCTATTTAACATAATACAGTCATAATACTAGACTGGTTAACTACTGGATAGAGGGATCATGAAAATCTTCAAAGATTACTACCATAGCTCTGTAACAGGAAAAGGTATAGTGAGTTAAGGTTTCTTCACCTTGATGAACAAAATTATATAGCATTAGGGGCGGACCATTTGACTTTTGAGGGGGGGGGGTGGAAGATTTCGAAAAAAAATTTCCTGCAACCCAAGGAGAAAGAAAAAAAAAATCATGCAGCACACAATCGAGAAAAAAAAATATCATGCAAAAGAGAGCGCTCAAAAAAAAATTTTCTACATGTAACTCTACTGATGCTCTTCACTTCAGTATTGTGTCCACAGGCTTGCAAGATTTTGCATTTTTGAGCAGGCACATTTGCTTAAAAGAACACGGGGTGAACAGTGGATAACATCACAGGGATTCTACCGCCTTTGGAGCCTCTGACATACGATAGCCAGTGGTGTTCCCTGGCAAAATTGTTGCCCCCCCCTGAGAAAATCTGGGCTTAAGATAATTATCCATGGCTGAAAACGCAGGAAATAGCATTTCCGAGGTTCAAATTTTAAAATTTTCTCGGGGGAGCATGCCCCCGAACCCCCCAAGGTTACAGGTCATTCATATACTGTAACCTCCCCCATTTTGGAGTACTGTACTCTACTCTATCCCTGCATGTTTTAGGTTTTGGTGCAGTTATACATTCTTTGTAAGTAAACTTGCACGCTTTAGTGTGGGGAACATTAAGACATAACCATATAAAATAAAGCACAGTGAAAATTCTTTGGCCCCTCTTGGGATTCAGTTCTCGGCCTCCTCTGACTGAAAACCCCTGCTACGTCTCCGATGATAGCTATATGAAAGCCTAAAGTTGCTGTAAGCCGTTATTATGAGAGGCAAAAAAAATATCCTGCGGCCAAATATATTGGGAAAAAAATATCTTGCGCTGCACTTTTACAGGAAAAAAATATCTGTCTCGTTCGCCTGGGCGGAAAAAAAATTCTTGCACTGACTGAATCTTCCACCCCCCCCCCTCAAAAATCAAATGGTCCGCCCCTTAGAAAACTATAATGCCATCAACTAATTCCCATTTAAAAATTTTCATGTTGGTCACTGTGAAATATAATCTTGAGGCCATCTTAATGATTGTTTACTATCTGATTGATGACATGATTATATATATTTCCAATTTTCCATGGAATCCAAGTTGTTTTTTTTCCCAAGTTCATGTAAAATATGGTTCACCTGTTAAAATAATAAAATGTTTATTAGTTGTTTTGTAACAGAACAGTACCTGCTTTAAATAAAATATAGGAAAGAGAAAATTAAAATAACAGTTGTACTGTATATGGAACAGAATAAAATCTTTCTAAGCATTTCTACTGTTATCATAATTGGATTAACTGATGAGATAATATGAAGTTTTTCTGTATGTTAAAAACTGTGATTTCTGAAGAAGTCTTTCTGTATGGGTGAAATGGAGTCTTTCTGTATGTGTGAAACTGTGTTTATTAGAAAATGTGATTTCCGAGACTCTGCGAAAATGTGAAAGCGACGTGTGAAAAAAATCGAATAAATTCAGTATAAATGTACAGTACATACCTTGATATACAGAACAATCAGTCAATATCATTTCATATTCCAGGCAACACAATCAGTGTTTATTCAGTCGCATTTGAGGCCGAACAGCATCTGATATATACGAGGGTTGCCAAAGCGAACAAAACGATGTCACAAATATGAGCGTCATACTCCGACAAATTGATACAATATGATGATGAATGTTGCACAGTTTTGTGTACATGTGTGTTCACAGCTTATATCTGAAGTATTTTTCGTAAAATTTGTTAAAACTTTGAGAATAAATACATAAACAATCAACAAAACATGTATATTTTCAAGCAAGAAAATCGTAAGCGCCAGCGCTAATTGTAGTCAGCAACATAACGTTGTCGTCACTGCGCATGCGATAAATCTCCAAGAATCTTGGAGATTTCATCGTATTTTACCAGGGTCTTCCCACTGAGCTCTACTATATATATCTGGAGACCGTGCTCGCAAATGAAAAGTGTCCGCAAAAACATGGCGGATTTCGAGCTCCACGTCCACTATTCTCATGGTACGTTAACTGACCACAGCTCAAATGCGTGCGGGCGACATTTCCCACTCCCCCCTGACCAGAGAGCCACTGATCTTTATAATTTTTAAAAAAGGAGTACATTGGAGAAGATTTGAAATTAGTAAATATTTATAGTTACATATAGGTGTAAAAGGTTTCTTCTGAACTTTACCAACTACTATCAAGTTCAAGCTGGATCATTAATTCATTCCAGCGACTATCTCCACAATTTCTGCTGTGAAATGTATAAATGATGATCCAAACAGATAATATATTGAGCTGAACGAATGGTGGTATTTTTGCCCATGTCGCATGTATGCTTTTGCAGTATCGGTAGGTGCAGACCTACAGTATTTTGTGTGGAGCCGTAGAAAATGAGTAATAAATTACTAAATTAACGAGAAATTGAAATAATTGTCATGATGGGAAACAGACTTTTGAAATTTCGAGGACTATGGTGATTCTGTTTCCATATGTTAATAAATAAACAACAAAAGCTGAAAAGCACTACAGGTGAGGCATTTTTCAAAATTTTAATGAAACACTTGTACTGTACCACACATTCATTTATTGAAATATACTATAATTTATTACTATTATATAATATTTCAACTCGATTACTACTTGTATATAATGCACATATCAATGGCCTGGCCCTGGGGGTACACCCCCGGGACTTTGCAAAAACATGATTCTAATGCATTAATTCCCCCTCCCTCCCCCGGGAAATGTGTAAGTCAAACTGCCCTCCCCCTGGGCTTACAATAAAGTAGTTCATAATATAAATAGCATACAAACAATTAAAAATTATTATACAAACTGGGGTATCACAATGGCACTCGTGTATTCCGTATTTATTTATTGAAATTTTAGCAAGACCACTACAAAATATCATAAATAATAAGTTGCCGATCGATATTTTTCTGTGTGAGCCTGTGATTTTGAGTTCACACCAATTATGTACTTCATTTATAAAATTCAAATTGTCATGTCAAAGTCCCCTACTTCCCCTCCCCCCATCGTCCTATTATTGCGAAGTTTGTAAGGGAGTGGTCATTATTTATGGGAGGGGGGTTGGGAAATGGGAGGGGGGGACAAAGTTTTACCCTTATAAATAGGGGGGATCAAAAAAGTTTTAACACAGAGAAAGGGGGGGGTCATAAAAGTTTTTGAACTTAAATACTATGTCTAGAGTTCTGATTTCTATAATCACAAATAGCAAAAAAGAAGACTCTGAAAATGCTATTTCCAACAATCTAGATACTCAAAATTTCCCTGCTTTGGGGTGGACATCTACAAAAAGGGACCATACTATATTGAGTGCGGAGAGATGACAGATGGTTGTTGGTGACAAAAAGTTTGGTGTGGTATTGTATGTACTAGTAGGGGGGTCCGGGGATTCTCCCCCAGAAAATGTTTTGTATTTTTCCACCCCTAGAACTGAAATGTAAGCATTTTCTGAAACAGATTTTTGGATATACAATGTTACATTGTGTGTTGATAGACCGAATCTGATCAGTTAAGTGTATTTGCATGGTATGTTTATGTAAATACCACAACTGGGTCACTCAGGGGGTAGCGAGCTTGTTAAACTTAGTGTGCCCGACTCCAATGATTGCGAGGCACTACAATGGTTGGTGCCCAGACAAGTTCTTAAAAAAACACTGTGTTCAAATCATTTTGCTGTATGAAGACGGGTCATGGGTTAGGGTTATGGTGGGACAAATGTTGCATTGCAAAGTAGTAACACATAATATATATTTTTAATCACATATGGTTGAATCATATTCACCAGGGTAAAACATCATGAGCTAGATTAAACAGATTGTCCTAATATCTAACTTTACATGCAATGCACACCTGTGTCATTGCTGTTAATTTTTCAATCTATACTGGGGGGTGGGGGTCAGAAAAGTTTCTACTTTTATGAGGGGGGAGACACAAAAAGTTTGCCTTCAGTCTGGAGGGAGTCAAAAAAGTTTTCAATCCTTATTTTCCCCATTTCCCAACACCCCTCCCCATAAATAATGACCACTCCCTAATCTCCCCGGGGTTCACAGGCAGAACACACAGATAAAATACCAAATTCCCCCTCGTTTCCCCCCAGTTGTCCCAGGGTGTACCCCCCGGGCAGGCCGTTGATATGTGCATAATTCTCTTTCAAATTGTATAAAAAGTATGTTGTTCCTTTTGCATTTCTACTATACATATAATTTTAATGTATAAATTTGTGAACACAGCCATGCTTTGTTGAAACAAAACTTATGTCGGTTTATGCATGTATCATCTAAATATTTACTTCTGTTTGTATTTTTCAGATTATGGAAACTGCACATTGTTGATCATGTCTACTCACAATGTACTCTGTGCACATTATGGGGAAAGTAAATCTGCAGTAATAAATACCCAAATGTATATGGCTCTACGTTTGTCACTGGAATCATTGTTATATTCGATGGCAATTCAAGGATCTAGCACACCAAACAATTATATATTATTTTATTAAACATATTCTTATGTGCATTTATTTATTAATTTTCATTACAAATTATATTTATTCAACATTTAAAAAGTTTAATTTAAAAATATATACAATATTATTATATTACTATTACCAGGCCATCAATAAGTATTCTTGCTTTCATACATATGTTTTATTTTGTTAATTCCATAAGGGTATTCTCGGGTTGTCCCAAATGATACAAGTGAAACACGCACATAGCTATCGCTTTTAATAAAAGAGTACTTGATGTCATATTTACTTCAATATATTTTATTGAAGCTATGCTGGATGTAATTAGCTGATATTTCCAGTGGTGGCACCAGCAGTGGGGACATCCCCCCCTTAAAATATTTTTCAAACCAAGAATATTTATTAATGGCCTAATAAATAAATTAAAATTAACACACAACACTCACACAACATTCACACATTATAACATACACAAAGTTACTTAGTGAATTTAATATCATGGCAATTGTGCCAATTATGTTGTTCTTGAACAACTGTCTGAGTGGGTTTTTGCTCTATTTGGGCACACAATTTTTGTATGCCCTCTTTTAAAACACATCCAGCATACCATTCCTAGTAAATGTACAATAAATTTTAATATAGAGGGGCCACAAAAAATTTTTGACCAGTGAAGGGGGGGGGGGCAGAAAATATTTTGAACATAAAGGGGGGGGCAAAAAATGAAATCTATAGTTTGTAACATGCAATATCAAAAGAGTGATGGATATATACAGTATACATACATTGAACAGTAATGCCCAATATATTGAACCTAAAAGTTGTGTTCTAGGCACTGTATATGGGAATTGTCATCCTCATCATCACCAAAGAATTTGTCTAAAGGGTCATGCACTGCATTTGCAAATGCAAGATTCATTTGACAGTTGTTGTCCTGCTTTTAACACAGTGGACCTCTTTTGCATGTTCTGTTTCTGCATGTTGTTGACAGTCTCTTCTGCCATCTCTTCAATATACAGTAATGCTTCCACCAGACACAAATGTATTTTTTTCAATTAGTAAAAGTATGTCTGATTTGTGTTTTTTTTTGTTTGAGGACCAACAACTTTTCAGGTATAAAGTCTGAATTATCTACTTGGCTATCATTTTCAATATTTACAATATTCTTTATTTTCAATATTTACAATATTCTTTACATCTGCAAGTAAACTGAGTATGAGGGCAGGAAAAATGGTTACGAAACCGACTTAGAGTAATTGAATTCAGAATTGGGGTGGAGGGAGGGGGGGCTATGAAATATGTTGCCTCAATAAGGGGGGGGGGGATAAAATAGTTTGTTAGAAAAATAAGGGGTCATGAAAAATTTTTGCTATTCATAAAAATTTCCTCCAGCCCCCTACCCGGCATTAATAATGACTTGTCCCTTAGCAAAGAATGTAACTCATGCACACTGTTACATATAACACTTTAACACTTTAAATCGCACCAATGACCTGAGCAAACCTTTGTGTAACTATTGTTGGTATTAGCATCCGGTCTCAATACTAATTTCTGGCTTTTCCCCTTTATCTCATACATATCAGCACTAAAGTGATCTGAACACAAACGACTACTTTTCGCAGGAACAGACTTCACTGTCGCATGTTTATTCATATACTCATCCCATATGCTGTACAACTCTGGATGCTTCTTTGCATCAGGAATGCTTAAATATGTGAAGGGAAAAAATTCAATAACAATATGCTTTCATAAATACAAACAGGCCTATAAAATACACTGTACAGTAGGTAGGAAAAACGCACACGAGAACATCACAAGGAACAATGGAAATATAATATTTGAATGAAACAAGCTGCATGCAAAAACCTCAGAAAAGAAGCCATAGTCGAGAAAAGCTGCTGACACATGCACGTGAACAAAACATAACTACCGTTTGATTTACATTGTCATTTGCAGAAAAAACTTCTCGAATGATATCTAAGCACAAAATAATATTTCCTTACCAGTGTGAATACAGTCCGTCTTTGTCAAAGGAGTTGTGACAACCATAAACCGAGCAATATTAACGCGGCATGTTGACAAAATGTCAAAATATAAAGTTGTGAAACTTGATAGTTTAATAATTACACAGTGTATACCATACTTTTTGCATCCAGGGGGGTGCGAAAACAGGTGGCTTTCAAAAATATTATGTGGTCAGTGGTAAATCGCCCGAAAATAGTGGACGCGGAGCTCGAAATCCGCCATGTTTTTGCGGACACTTTTTTGTTTGACGAGATATGGGAGCACGATCTCCAGATATATATAGTAGAGCTCAGTGGGTCTTCCTCAGCTCACGCGCCACCACGAGGAAGACCCTGGGGACGAGGTTGGAGGAAAAAGTTAAAAACAGATTTTTAATTAAACATAATTTATGATTCACTCAAAATTCAAGAAATAGTGAAACTTTCTTCTGCACTAATGCACTTGGATGAATATTTAAGTTGTTCGGAAAAATTCCTTAGATTTCCTTAGATTTTTTCTCTTCCTTAGATTTTCCTTTTCGACACTAGAATTTCCTTAGAAAAGGAAATTTCCTTGAAAATGGAAGCACTGATTATTCTTTATCCCGTCAAGTCGACAAGTATCGAACTTTATTGTTGATCATTTGTATTGCGCAATCAAAACAGAGCCACCGTGGCAGACCCAGTGAACTCTATATATATATATCTGGAACGATAACATTCAGTCATTTGATTGTGAAAACAATGAAGCCTCGATACCAGTCTTTCACGCGGATTGGACGTCAGTCTCAGTCCCTCAAACGTCAGGTTTACGCGGATTGGACGTCAGTTTCATTCCCCCTCTTGCAAACCGTTGCACGGCCAGTATAAATTTGAACGCAATCACGAAAAAAAAATTAAAAACATGGCCAACTCAATGCAATACATTTTAGGAGCAAACTGTTTTGCTCCTAAAATTTACTGCATTGAGTTCGCTGTCGGAAAAAAGTCGAGGAAAACTTCCCCGTGTGGAGAAAAGAATCACTTTTTCAAATATATTGTGTCGTACTGTCGTTCTGGATACACAAGGAAAGAGATATTCTTGCGAGAAAATTTCATTTCACAGGTAGGTAAATTGACTTGCAACTGTGACTTTGCCGTTGCCATTTTTCGCGATTGTTTGAATTGTTTTTTTAGTTTAGCAATTTTATAGTTTTTAGTCAATACACTGGTACGTTATTTTTTAAAGAATTTATTGTGTGATCGGAATTTGCCTGCCAGCAAAATGTAAATGAATATGTACGTGTGTTTGAATATAAATTAGACCATATGGGCTTAGTAAAAAATTATTTTAATAACTACGTTTCGGAGTATAACTCCAACTTCAGGTTAAAAGTGAATAAAGATATAAAAACTGTGATAAAAACTTTCAAAACAATTACAAATTTTATATGTAAGTGATTTTTAATACTGTAAGAAAGTTCTTGAACAGTTGATGACGAAGACAATGACGAATACTTAATTTATGTCGTGATTTTTTTGTCGGCTTCACTTTTCGCTCGTTGTTATCATTCCAGATATATATATATATAGAGTTCACTGGGCAGACCGTGGCGCACGCGCACATGACCAGCCCAGTGAACTCTATATATATAAACACCGCGGAAAAACGTCTGCGCATGCACCAAATTATGAAAATATGGCGGGGAATTTGAATATCAATTTCTAAAACAAAAACATGCTTATTAATTGGTCAAAAATTAGTAAAACAAACGAGAAAATATAGCAAATGGGTAGACTAGACATTAATTGAAAGCGTCCTGGCATTTAAAGTATGGAATGAAATATAATTCATGTAAAAAATTGTTGAATTTAACGGACACGACTTCGAACATTTTTGCAAAATTATTCAAAACAAAAATTCAAACTCAAAAGTTAAGAAAACTCTCGAAAAGTTAAGCTTCTTAACTCACTCAAATTGTAGAATAAATCCTAAAGTTTAATTATTGTGAACACGAAAATTTTTTATATTTGGCGACACAGTTTTTTTTAGGAGAATGTATCTCAAACGAAAATTCGGAAATTCTCGTTGCTTAGTTGATAAACAAAATGTTTCAGACGATAAATTTGTCAACAATCACCTTTAGTTCATGTTCTTGTACAATACAATTTCTTGAACCTTCTGGCTGTATTTATTCCTAGTTTTTAGAATGACATGTTTATTTTTGCGCTCGAAATCTGGCTGTAAAGACGCACAATGAAGTCACTCCTTTTTACCGCGATTTTGAGCCTTCGGAAACGTTCGGAACAGCTTCTCATCAAGTTCGCAATACTATTACAGGTAAGGTTGACGCATGCGCAGACGTTTTTCCGCGGTGTTATATATATATATATCTGGAACGATAACATTCAGTCATTTGATTGTGAAAACAATGAAGCCTCGATACCAGTCTTTCACGCGGATTGGACGTCAGTCTCAGTCCCTCAAACGTCAGGTTTACGCGGATTGGACGTCAGTTTCATTCCCCCTCTTGCAAACCGTTGCACGGCCAGTATAAATTTGAACGCAATCACGAAAAAAAAATTAAAAACAATGGCCAACTCAATGCAATACATTTTAGGAGCAAACTGTTTTGCTCCTAAAATTTACTGCATTGAGTTCGCTGTCGGAAAAAAGTCGAGGAAAACGTCCCCGTGTGGAGAAAAGAATCACTTTTTCAAATATATTGTGTCGTACTGTCGTTCTGGATGCACAAGGAAAGAGATATTCTTGCGAGAAAATTTCATTTCACAGGTAGGTAAATTGACTTGCAACTGTGACTTTGCCGTTGCCATTTTTCGCGATTGTTTGAATTGTTTTTTAGTTTACCAGTTTTATAGTTTTTAGTCAATACACTGGTACGTTATTTTTTAAAGAATTTATTGTGTGATCGGAATTTGCCTGCCAGCAAAATGTAAATGAATATGTACGTGTGTTTGAATATAAATTAGACCATATGGGCTTAGCAAAAAATTATTTTAATAACTACGTTTCGGAGTATAACTCCATCTTCAGGTTAAAAGTGGATAAAGATATAAGAACTGTGATAAAAACTTTCAAAATAATTACAAATTTTATATATGTAAGTGATTTTTAATACTGTAAGAAAGTTCTTGAACAGTTGATGACGAAGACAATGACGAATACTTATGTCACAGAATAGGAAGTTATACCAGAAGCGTAACTCTAGTCGTTTCGCTTATTGTTTGACGTCCACGAAAATTTTAACTCGCTCACGTCAGGCCACGCCATCCTGGCTAGTACAGCCGGAAGTTTTTATCAGGATTTGGTAGGTACAAAGTGCCGGTTGTACTAGCCAGGATGGCGTGATTGATGACGAATCGCTTGTAAAAACGCGGACAAATATTTGCTCGAGTTACGCTTCTGGTATAACTTCCTATTCTGTGCTTATGTCGTGATTTTTTTGTCGGCTTCACTTTTCGCTCGCTGTTATCATTCCAGATATATATATATAGAGTTCACTGGACCAGCCTCGTACCCAGGCGCAAATAACGTACTAAAAATTAGCAACACTACAGTGTTTTTATATAGATCAGTGGCTAAGAGAGCGAGCGCGCGGGGGTGCTAGGTCAACACACGACGGGATTCTGCTGCGCCCATTGAACTATATTAAATAAACTTCAAAATGTTTAGGAACGAACTTTCCCTAAGTCTCATGTTATTAGCAGACCTCTCAACTCTCACGCATTCGGCGTGAGTCTCACGCAATTCGCTTCAGTCTCACGCTCTCACGCCAGACCTCTCAATTCTCACGCATTCGGCGTGAGTCTCACGCAATTCGCTTCAGTCTCACGCTCTCTCTCACGCCACGTTTAGTAAATCTAACGCATAAAAATTTTGGCATATCCGCATAGGCGTACCGGGCGAGTTTTTTGGGCAGTCGGGCAATATTCGATCAACAGTCGGGCAATTTTGGGTTGCAATAAAAGAAATGTGACAAATTCTGTAAATTTTGTCTAAACTTAAGTCAATTTTTTGGCAAATTTTGTGATTTTTCGAAAATTTTGTGTATGTTCTGGAAAATATTGGTTGTCCGGAAAATTTTTTTGACCCCTAAAATGGTGCACTGACCGAAATGTTAGTTTAAATTCAAATTGTAATCCTACCTGAAGATGGAGTAAATCTCCGAAACGTCGTTTGTTAATGAAATAAACATTTAAAAAAGTCTTACTGTGGTCTATATATTGAACACAAAATATATAAATAAACTGGAAGGCTAACTGCTATGATGAAGGCCTATGATTTGATGAAGCCAAAATAGTTTTTCTGAGTTATGAGCAGAAATACTTGACCCCAAACGTCGTGCTATATATCAAATTGAAGCTATTGAAAATTGCTATTTGGTGTGGAAATTTCACGACTTCAGCGAAAAGAAAAATATTTTAAAAATACAAAAACAACTGCAAAACGGCAAATTATCGGTAATTATGTTTGTAATTTTTTGATATTTCCCTTTTAGCTAAAGTCTTAAAATTTCTACACCAAATAGCGTTTTTCAATAGCTTCAATTTGATATATAGCCCAACGTTCAGTGTTGAGTATTTCTGCTCATAACTCAGAAAAACTAAAATGCCCTGGCTTCAATTTCCCCCCCTGAGTTAGCCTTCCAGTTTATTTATAGTTCAATGGCTGCGCCTGGCAGAAAATGTAAATATGATTCTTCAGAAATACGATATCTGAAGAATGGAACCATTCAGCTTTTTACTCGTGCCTTTTCAATTATTTTTGGCGTTTTTGGTGCTGAATATTATATTTATATGTGCTTATGGGTGACCTGGAACAATCGCTGAAGGAATTATCAAGAAATGAGTGTTTTAATAGAGGTGAGTGTTTGTATTGGTTTGCCTTGAGATTTCATTATTCTCTGTATATTATGTGTGCATCATTGTATAAATCTTGGTCAAGATGACTACAAGAAATAGGACAGGTTTCATATTTTAAAAGAATTTGTAAGCTGCCCACAAAAGGAGAAAGAATAATTTCAACCAGGGATGCACCTTTAATAATTTAACACCAGAATCAAAAGCCCATGTCGAGTTCCAGCCAAAGAGATTTGCTGATCAAATGTCTTCATACTAATTTAATATACTATACAATTCTAAAAGTTGTAAATACTTGAATAGTTTATTTTCAGCAAACAATCACTGAATTGATACAGAACCCAGTAGTGCTGTCACTACTATGACTACTGCTTGATACATGTATATTAAATTTGCCATGAAGTGATTTGAATATTTTTGTTTTTCAGTGTATTGTATGCAGTTTGACATTTGTCACTGATGTTCTTGAATTCCAAAAGATTTTCAACTACATGTGATATGAATATAGATATAATATTATATTTGCAACCCATGAAATGTATATTTTCTCTGTAGCTGGTACAGTTCAACATAGCACAATTTGATTGAGTAAAAGACTTTCTGAGGGTGCCTCTGGCAGCCACCTTATGGAGGGTGAGTTAGAGGCTAATCCCAAGCCACCCGTCAACATTTCCTCTATAGAAAACTGGAGTTCCCGGAGAAAACCCACAACTTTTGTCAGAGTGTTGACAGCATGACTCTTTTCACATTTAAGTGTCGTTGAAGTGGTGAGAATTGAACCAACAATCTCAGATGTAAAAAGTCCTCGCTCTGACAATTGCACTACCAAAGTCGGTGGCACAATCAGCACGCCACCATAGCCCCAGTAGGGTGCAGTGGAACTTGATGGGCTAAGCTGTTAATTTGTGCCAATGTACCTAGCTTGTTGAGAAGTTCAGCTGTGGGTGAGTGCATGGGTCTATAAATAAAACCCACAAGAGTATTAAATTTGCATAAATATTGCTAGTTCTAGCTAGATTCCTTTGAATGTAAATACTAGTACTTTATGTTATGAGCAAAATAAATAAAATTCTCAAGACTTTAAATGTTGCAGGGGTTGTTGTTTGCATAGCATGTTGATGAGGTATATCTCATTCAGTCAAGTTGTGTAAAACATATGCCCGTTCTAACTTGGCTGAACCAATGACCATATACAGGATTTAGGAACAAGCACAGAAACAACTGGGATAGGTCTTGTTGTTGTCCAAGCACTTCACTGGGACCTACCCTGAGTGACCTGAAATGGTTTCAGGTGAAGAATTTGGGGTGGCTAACCCTGTAGTATATACATGTTTGGATTGTTTAATCCCGAGACCAATTTCCATGACAACAGGGTAAATCATGTAATGTGTGTATATTTAATGTTGACACATATTTTCAGTGAGACCATCAGATGTTTGCCACATATTTTTCAAATATCGTTGATTATTAACATGCATCTGAAATCAGCCCAATTGTCCAGTTTTTTAGACACTGTCCTGTAACTAGGTGTCAAATGCATTATATGTGGCCACAGGTAAGTCCAGAGTCTACCCCACTCCTTAGTGTAAACATGGTAGATTTTGGCAATCAAGGGCAATAGCCTTTATAGGTCAAATGCAAGGTGAAGAACAAAATACACATCAAAGTATAAAACACTGGGTTAGTTTGTGCTTTAGCCTTTAAACTTACTGTCAGCCAGTTACAACAATAGCTAAATGGCCAAAACAGGTTTTATATTATTAAATTTATTAAATGTTCATATATTCACTGATATTTTGCATACTATAAAGCAGTCATGCATGTTTAATATAGGCCTTTTTATTGGTAAAATTTTAGAAACTAAGAAACCTACAATAAAATATTTTCTAGTTATAAATTTTCTCCTCTGAGGTAAAAGGTATCATCAGTACAAATAAATAGTAATTTCAACATTCCATCTAAATTCAATGTATTATTAAAATATTTATATTAAAATTAAAAGATTCAAGAATAAGACAGTTTCTTTGACTTTGCTTGGTCAGTTTCTCTTTCAAACTGCAAAAAGGCAGTATATTTCATGATGTGCATCCAACACCAGACATATAGTTGGCAAAGCTAAATAAATAAATATTTTCAACCATTTGAAATAAATCGTTATTTTTTTTAGAATGTTCAATAATCTCGAGTTCTCTCATGACCAGCAGACTTTCTAATTTCGAGAGGCTGGTCTCCTGAGGAGACCTTTAATTAAAATACCGTTTTCGAGGAAAAATCCTTATTATCAACGCAGTGATCATTTGGACATAAAATCGTTCCCAAATGTACCGCTCGTTAGGCAAGCCTTTCAATTTCATTTATATAGTACAGCAATTTCCTTCTTTGCATTCTCATGTCCGCCATGTTTGTTACAAATTCTGCCAGGCGCCTCGCTTCCCAAGTCCTCCCCAAGCGCCCCCGCGCGCTCGCTCAGCCACTGATCTATATAAAAAAACTGTAGTGTTGCTGTTTTTTAGTACGTTATTTGCGCCCGGCTAATTTCTAATTTGCTATTGCTGTCACGTTATTTCAGCTGCTGACGTGATCAGCCTGCAATAATATTTTTTGGACATGTGTTCGGTTGCAAGAAATAATTATTGGACGCTGTAGAGCCCAAACCCCCAGCTCGGTCGGTAAATTGTCTAAAAAGCCGAAACCAAATAGTTTGCAGTACAGTAGGTATACGCTTTTTTAAAGTTTGCTAGCCAATGTTAACCAATCAAAATCGCGTAATTTAAAGTTAATTACTATTTTACCTGCAAATTAGTTGTTAGTCTTGTTAAAAAGAAGTTAAAGTTTCACATAACAGGTTTCTGAAAATCAGCTCAAATCACCACTATATTTGCCCATGATTACTCATGAACGAGTATTGGGGCAGTATACACTCTCCTCCCCCCTCCACACACACACAAACACCCGATCGCTATCATAGAGATTATAAATAACACTAGGGGGGGCATCGTAATCTTAATTCAGTCAAAGTAAGGGAACGTGGCTAATGGGGGGAAAAATTAAAGTGCTAAAATAAGAGCGAGTTTGAGCCAAAATATCTGTGTTATTTATAATCCCTAGGGTCGCTACCGTATCGAAGCTTGGTTAAATAGATTATAATGCTTATATGATCGATCTTTCCCCCTCCAATGAAAGTCCTTCATTCAACAGTATTATTTTTTTCTAGTTTCTCCACAGTGTTTCTCACGATCGCGTAAAGTCTTCTTCATGTTGGACAGGTCGCAGAACCTGACTTACAGTGAACTGCCCAAAGTCATTACATTCATTAAAGATATTGTGAAGAGATTGTATACCGACCCCAATAACATTGAAGTTGGCTTAATGCACTACAGTGATATACGTACGGCAAGATATCCATTGATGTTGAGAAAATGGTCGTTAAAAGTTGCCTTGGATAGAATAGAATATCTAAGATACCGATCAGGAAGAAAAAATTTCTTGGGGTATGCCCTGAAGACTGTCAGAAAGGTATGAACCATGTCTGAAATGTTTAGATGTCATTAAGCGCATACCTAATTTTAAGAATTTTTTATCACTGCGCACTTTTATGCAAAGTTTTATCTAGCCGAGCAGAAACACGCCCACCCTTCTACTGTATAACCACAAACACAACATACACTGCTCACCGCCAAGTTTACGGGGACCCAAATAAAGAATTACAGTGAGATATACATAGATGTATACGTAACTGTCAACTATACTTCCATGCAGAATGCAGGATCTGGCCATTTCTTGGACCTCAAATTTAAACGTTTTCCTGAGGAGAATGCTCACAGGCCCCCTAATCATAGTGTTTCAAAAGAATGTCGCCCCTTCATTCCTCTGGGCGGTCTTGACAGCACTTTCAGTTACGACTGTCTTTGCATTGACAACATACTAGTTTCATAATCACATACTTGTGGGAAAGAAATAGTTTCGTCTTGGCAAATCAAAGGCGGCTTAGGCGTGACAAACTTCTAGAGGAGTTCCAGGGGTATAATCTAGGCTCTCTGAAAGAGTATTTTCGGCAATGTACAGGGACATTCTATAGAATTCTGAAGATTCTTCACCAATTAGAAAAAGTTAAGTATCATTCACTCCATCTTCCAAGCTCATCAACAGATCTTTGGTGGGAAACTTTGTTCATCTGATAACCTTAAGTATAATATTAGTGCATGCGGACGTTCGATCATTTGGCATTCATTCAAATTATTCTCAATCAAAATGTTTTGATTAATACTGTCAAGTGGCAAGATTAATTTTTAGTTTAGTTTTTTTGTTCATTGCTCACTTTTATATATGGCGAATACTGGTAATATATATCTAGACAAGACGCCTGCTCAGGCGTTCACACTGGCTTCGCGGTTGGTAAAATACCATCGCAATACTCTAAAAAATAATTTGAAACATGTAGATGTTCTTCACTTCTTGACGGCCGTCACTTCATGATCACAAACATTCAGAGGACGGCACAATAAAAATCCGTACAAAACCAATAGAGTTCAGCGATATCATATCGAAAAACACAGAAAAGTTCACGCGCATGCGCAATTACAGCATCTACGATTTATAACGTAGTTAAACTCGAAAGCCGTTCTGATTAACATTGTGTAGAATTGGTCCTAATAATCGTCTGAGCATGTTTTAGCTAAATTGCGCAATCCTGTGCCCACGATGTCGCAATGAAAAGTCACACTTGCGACAACAACAAAAAATACACTAAAAAGACGGGAGGGGCAAATGGAAGCAAGGGCAAATTATGACACTGGCTGCGGCCAGTGTAATAAGAATGCAATTCCACAGTACATGATGCCTGCTTATGGGCGACGTCACTCAATGCATAGTAATTAGTTGTATATATTTCTTAAAACTATTGAAAATACTGGAAATGGTTTAAAAACTGCGCTAAAATAGTAACAAGTGTGGATACTAAATTTCGCTTTGTTATTGAAAAGACAAAAGAGACTATATTTATCAATTATTATCAATTCTTTTCCCCATTTGCAGAAAATTTTTCTTTCTTTCATAAGGACGTTTAAATGTTTCAAAATTTTGGCTGATATTTTCCTTAATACTTTTTCTTTATATTCTAAAATTTGCTTCCCTTAAACCAAAGGTGGCGCCATATTGATTTGGACATGTTTCCACATTTCGAAATTGGAGGTAAATTAACCATTTCAGGTCATGCGTCATACAAATATTTTTTTTTTTCAATCATGAAAGTAAGATTGTTTAAAGCACAATCTCCGGGTTGTCTTTTAGTTCTCTTATTGGCAAAAAATTCCCTTTTTCGGTCTTGTGAAATATTTTGCAAATTGATTTTAAACACTTAGCATCCAATAAATGTTTTATCTGCTAGCTATGAAGGACAACTGTTGCAATTCGTGGCTGCTAGCATCTGTAGAAATTCTGCAGATTCTAATTTTCATGTTTATTTTTAATATAGAAATTCTTTAAGCGACCTCCAAAAGCTGACGAAGAGCGAATCGTCATCGTACTTGCGCACAGCGAACCAGCAGATCCTGAAAAAGCGTTCAAAGTTAGCGAGAAATTACGTTCACAAGGAGTGGAGATTATCACAGTCACCATTCACACAAAAAAGACTCCAATGAGGCTAAATCCTCCGTACAGAGCTTTGGCATCATCAAGCTCGAGTGCACATAGCTTTGATTTTAGCAATCTGCTAAACTCCAGCATTGATGTTTTGTTGAATTTGTGCGAACTTAATACTTGTCCAAAAGGTGAGGGTTTCATGTACAGCTATATATATATATATATATATATATATATATATATATATATATATATATATATATATATATATATATATATATATATATATATATATATATTAAAATACTGATTAATAATTCATACACAATGTGGCAAATCATGTCAGCCATAATATGTCACGTGGAGTGACTTTATATCAAATAAAGCATGTGGCATTATACGGGGTGTCTCAAAAGAAACGCTATGGAATTTCAACAGGCTGTCGTGCATCATACCCAGATGATTTTGATACGCGGAAAAGTACTGGCACTAGTTGTCAAATAGAAATCCATTTTATGATTGAAACAACTGAATATCTCCTGTGATGTAGTTTATTTCGATTCCATATTTTTGTCAGAGCTATAGTCCTCATAACCAAACTTTTAAAATAAAAATAATAATAATAATAATAATTAATATAATAATAATAATAATAATTTTTGTAATTAAAATTACAAAATTTCAACTAGTTTCATAAAAAATGACGAAAGATATAATTGACTGAATACATCAAAATGGATTTCTATTCGGACAACCCTTTCTGAGCGCTGATTGGCTAAAATACGAACACAAGATCACCTGGATAACGTGGCTAAACAATTCAATTTTTACATAGAACGAAAGAACAATTATTTAGCTTTACAATGATACTCTTTTTAAATCGTAACGATGAGAAATGGACACATGCTCGTCAAATAAAAATTGCCGGTCGAAATCACATTCTTCCACCGTTGGGAATTTGCATGGAAAATGAACCATAGACAATTCCCAAGAGGGAATTAAAATTGAATGTTGAATTATCTAAAATGAGCTCAACTCGTTGATGTTCGTATTTGTGAGACAATAACACAATGAGGACGTCCATAAAACATGGTTCAATTAAACCCTGAACAGAAAATATTCGTAATCAAAACGTTTTACGAAACAAATAGCTTGCAGGTTGCTTTGCAGCAGGCTCACGGTGCTTTTAGATTGACTAACTTTGCATAAATAATGTGTTTTCAATTCCCAACGGTGGAAGAATGTGATTTCGACCGGCAATTTTTATTTGACGAGTATGTGGCCATTTCTCATCATTATGATTTAAAAAAGGTATCATAAAGAAGTTAAATAACAGCTCTTTCGTCCTATGTAAAAATTGAATTGTTTAGCTAAGTTTATGATGCACGACAGCCTGTTGAATTTCCGTAGCGTTTTTTTAGACACCCTGTATAATTGTTCATCCTAATTAGTATGATCATATAATGGTTCATCCTAATTAGTATGATTATATAATGGTTCATCCTAATTAGCATTCTTTTGTGTCGTATTTTAAGCTATTCAAAACACTCGTTGTCGTGTTTTATCAGATATAAAACGCTCGGCTGCGCCTCGCGTTTTATATCAGATAATAAACCTCCTACTCGTGTTTTAAATAGTACATATATACATACTACGCCCCTGGAAACAAGCGACGTTTTTGACAAAAGATGACACAAAGTAGACAATAAGATACACTGGTTTACATTTAATGTTATATAATTATGTGAAGCGCCCTGTTTCTAAGATATAAGCAAAGAAGAATACAGGTTGCCACGACCAAACTTTGGTTTTATACTTAATCAATTTTATACTTAATTAGTCTGCCGTCTTGATGGAATATGTAAAAAATTGTGTCTGAAGTGCGAAGGCTAAAAAGCTCATGAGGTTGAAATATACGAAGTGGAAAACTCCCAGATGCCCCAAAACTTAATTCCGTTCACTCTTCGCGCAGTGATAAAATTTTCTTAGAATAATCCTTGTTTCAAATTTAGTACCGTATGTAACAATATCAATCTAATTTTGAACGAAAAAAGTAATCAATTTGTTTTTAAACTTTCAGATACAACTAAGCACTGTACTCCAAAGAAACAAGATATATTTATGGTAATTGACAGCTCACGAAGTATCGGCCGAAGTATCTACCCTCGACTAAGACGTTTCGTTCGCAGACTGGTAAACAAGCTGGACATATCTGACGAAAGAACACATGTAGGCATTCTACAGGCGAGTGATCGCAGGAGAACACAGTATGAGATGAAGCTAGGAGAGTTTACGAATCCAAAAGTGATCGAAAGTGTGATCAATGAGATGGAGTACCACAGAGGATACACCTCGTATATCGGTAGAGGATTGGATATAGCTATCGGAGACAATGTAAGTATAATGTTACTATAGTCCGACTATAGCACCTGATGTTGAATAAAATTATCATATATTTGAAACAAACGTCACATTATACAAATCTTACGTAAAATCATCAAATTTTACGTTTACTTTTACTTGTACCTTTACTATTACGTTACGTTTAGAACCGTTTGGTTCTACGACTAAACAAAAACTAAAAACAAACAACATGGCCGCCCTATTTGCCATGCCATAATGCGTCCACTGCGCATGCGCAAGGCGGGAAAATCCATACGGTAGCTACACCGGCCCCTAAATGGGCATATACTAATAGTCCATTTACTAACTCCATGAAGGCTACCGTTCTTAACCTATAACACAAATATAATATAAATTGTCAAATTTCACTGTTTAGTTCAACATGCTTATTGATAGTCCTAGCCAGATTACTCTCCGTCCATTTCAAGCAAACACAACTTCGCCACAGGACGTGTTAGTATCGTTGTATTGATCTTGTTCTCTCCCCCTCCTTCGGTGTTTCGCTCGGGTTGATACTGCCGAACTTGTCTTTACTTTCACTGTGCGTACATAACCGTCTTTTCTCGGCATAACATCCGTCACCCTTGCCAATGGCCATTGTCCTCTTGGATAGTTTTCATCCGCTATGAGCACCAAATCTCCTATCTTTAAAGTTTCTTCTTGGGATATTCGACTTCTTTCTTTCGAGTAAGCTTGGTAAATATTCTCTTATCCATCTACGCCAGAAGACATTAGCAAGATACTGTGCCTGTCTCCAGCTTTTTCTGCAACTCAATTCATCTTTGTCGAATACGCCGGGAGGTAAACTCGACGTCGGGCGTAAATGTAGTAGATGATTTGGAGTTAATGGATCTTCATCCATAGGACTGTCGCTGTTTCTTGTGAGAGGTCTTGAGTTCAAGATTTGGGTTGCTTCGGCCATCACGGTCTGCAAGACTTCATCAGAAACCAACTGTTCCTTTAGAATAGCTCTCAAAACTTGTCTCGTTGACCTTATCAAACGCTCCCATACGCCACCCATATGACTCGTAGACGGTGGGTTAAAGTCCCATTTAATTCTTCTTTGTGCGCAGAAATTGTGGATCTTGGTCTGATTCCATTCTTCAATGCTTCGGTTCAGTTCCTTGTCAGCACTCACAAAATTCGTTCCATTGTCGCTCTTTATCTCTTCTGGGCAACCTCGTATGCTGATAAATCTTCTGAGGGCGTTTATCATAGAATCGGTGTCCAATGAATGCGCGATCTCTATATGCACTGCTCGCGTTGTCATACACGTGAAAAGGCAGCCATATCGTTTGACAACCGATCGTCCTTGTTTTACTTGTAATGGCCCGAAATAATCAACTCCGACACGCGTAAAGGGTGGTTGATGGGGCGTTAGACGGATTTTCGGTAAATTCGCCATAAACTGTTCTCCCAAACGAGCCTTTCTCCGTTGACAACTAATGCAGCTTCGCACCACACGTCGTACCGCCGTTCTTCCTTTCACGATCCAAAATTCTTTCCTTAATGAAGAAAGGACGGACTCTTGACCCATGTGTCCCACTTCCGCATGGTACTGACGAATTACCATTTCTGTAACTGGATGTTTGAAGGGCAAAATAATCGGATGCTTTAAATCACCATCGATTGGCGCGTTAACGAGTCTACCGCCAACTCTTAACAATCCGTCTTCTAATTGTGGATTCAACTGTCGAAGTGACATTCCTGTCTTCCGGAGGAATACTTTATCCGGTTTCTTAGCACGTTCAGCAACCGTGAGTATCTTCAATTCTTCTGGGAACGCAGTTAGTTGCACATGTCGAAGGATTTCATCTTGAGCCTTCTTCAATTCTTCTATCGTAAGACGTCCAACATTCGCTGTTGTCTCGACTTCAGTATCGACCACGACTGAGCTCTTCTTTAGCTTCACCTTGGCTCGAAGACATTCTTTACAGCGTAATAACCATGCAACCGAGCATTTCAACTTCCACCAGCTGGAGTGATGTGAGATCAACTTCTCCAAGACGTTACATCGTACTGTGGTTGCGTAAATCTGAGCTTCCTTTCTCACTTCGGGGTCATCAGACTTCAAAACCGGGACTTGAACCATCGTAGGCCAGTGTGTTTCGTCCTTCAAAAGAAACTCAGGACCATTTAGCCACCGATCATTAGATATCATGGCGTCCAATTTAACTCCCTTGGAACCGTCGTCGGCAGGGTTGTCATCTCGGTTCACATACATCCACTGGGAGGGATCAGAGCCACTACGGATTACTGTTAGGCGGTTGGATTCAAAGGTGTGGAATCTCTTGCTTTCGTTGTTAATGCACTTGAGGACAGACATCGAATCTGTCCAGTAGTAAATTCTTTCTATCTCCAGGTCCAACTCTTCTTGTATGATCTTCGAAAGTCTCACGGCGATAACTGCAGCGGTTAATTCCAATCTTGGAATTGAAATCTCTCGTAAGGGAGCAAGCCTAGCCTTTCCCATAACAAACGCGCAATGAATCTGTTCATTGGTATCTTCTAAACGGAGGTATGCAACTGCCGAGTAGCCAAGTCGCGAGGCGTCTGAGAAGAGATGTAGCTGTATTTCCTTGACGACGCCAAATCCAACGGGTTTGAAACAGCGATCTACACGTATTGCTTGTAACTTTGGAAGGTCAGCCAACCATCGTTTCCATTGCGCCTTCTCGTTCTCTTGAAGTGGATCGTCCCATCCAACTCCTTTTCTACATAACATCTGTAGCAACAACTTTGCTTTCATTACGTAGGGTGCAATAAACCCCAAGGGATCGAAGAGTGAATAAACAGCTGATACGATCGCTCGCCGAGTGACAGAAGCTTCGTTTACTAATTGCAACATTTTCTCCGAGACATGCCACTCAAATTTATCTTCTTCGGTATTCCACTTGATGCCAAGAGCGCTTTCGGTAGGCAGCCGGTCCAATTCTAAATCTTTCACAGATTTGGCTCTTTCTGTTTCGGGAATCGTTTTCATCACCTTTCTGCTATTACTGTACCATTTTGTGAGACGAAAACCACCCTTTTCGAGTAGATGGCGCAGTTGACTCACTAAGCCTACCGCCTCGCTTGTTTCCTTCGATGATTTCATCAAATCGTCGACATACATATTACGTTTCACCGTCTCTATAGCCACAGGGTTAAATTCATCTTGATGCAACTCTGCTGTTTTACGCAAGCAGAAATTAGCAACACTAGGCGAAGACGTAGCCCCGAATAGGTGTCTTGCCATTCTATATTCCTCCATCTCGCCAGAAAGATCTTCGCTCGGCCACCATAAGAACCGCAATGCATCGCAATCGCGGGGTTCCACCAAGACCTGGTGGAACATTGCTTCTACATTTGCAACCATTGCAACAGATTCTTCTCGGAATCGGATAAGCACGCCAGTCAGTTGATTTGTTGGATCTGGACCTTGCAAAAGCTGCTGATTCAACGAAGTTCTCCCATAACTTGCTGCACAATCATATACCACTCGAACCTTTTCGGGCTTTAGGGGATGCGTAACCGGGTGGTGCGGGAGATACCAGATCGGTCTGTTCTCCATGTTCAATTGCTCTTTAGAGATTTTCTCAGCGTAACCCTTTTCTAGGTACTCATTCAACGTTGTCCGATACTTTTTCAACAGTTCGTCATCGCGGAGGAGGCGTTTTTTCAGAAGCAAACCCCGCCTTTCTGCTACCATCTTGTTATTGGGCAAATATGGTGGATTATTCCGCCATGGCAGAGCAACTTGAAAATGACCGTCCACTATCTTCAGTGTTTTTTCCATTATTTGTAGCGCTTTCTTATCTTCCACCGACGGGCACACCTTGGTTTCGACCAGAGAACCTTCAAAGTCTGTTTTCCACAGCCTTT